CAAATAAAATCTTTAAAGTAAATGTTAGAGATGGTTCAGGGAAAGGGGCTTCCTAGATGGGACAGACTTCTACTTTGTAGGGATGTCATCCTTGGTGGCTGTTAATTTAAGTGGCTATGTAACGGCATCATTGTGTATTTGTATAGCTCTTTTATGTTCTAGTGTTTTTGTTTATAAAGAGAACTGAAGCTCTGAAACCCAAATAGTTGTCTAAATTATTTTGTAAAGTTTGTGTATCTACTAGGGGACTGTAGACCATTATTTGCTAGCTATTTCCTTATTCAAAAAAGTTCGAAAGATTCAGAATTTGGAAGGTATATGAGTGTGACTACTTTTCAGGCTTTTTTAGGCTGTGCCTCGAGTATAGCCTATGTGGATTCTCTGAGCTTGCTCAGTACTGCCTCATCTATATATGGAGGCATGGAATTTTTATTCTTTGGGTTGTAATCCAGTGTTATCTGACTTACTTTGCTTTTTTACTTATTTTATTGCTCACACACTTCCATTTTTGGCCCTTGTGTCCTTTTAATGGTCCCCCGTTTTTGTTTTTTTTTCTTTTTAAGCATTTTCTTTATCGGGCATTTAAGGCTCACCTTGTATTTTGCCTTTCCCAGCCCTAGAGTCAACTGTTTCTCCAAGGAGCTACCACAAAGAATTTTGAAGGGAAGTGACAGGTGGTAAATGTGAATAGTTTAGAAAATAGATTGAACAGTGATGGTGATACAAGCGAGTGCATGGGCAAGGGGGAAGGACAGAGGGACAGGCAGACTCCCAGACTCTTGGGGCTCAATCCCAGGACCCTGAGATTATGACCTGAGCTGAAGTCAGACAGTCAACTGAGCCATCCAGGCACCGCATTGAGTTAAATTTTAATATGTGATATATGAAGTGAGGTTCATTTTCTTCCCTATATATGGATGTGTAATTGTTCCACCATTTGTTGACCAGAGTATCCTTTTTCTGTTGAATTATCTGCACTTAATGTTGAAAATCCCAGTTGTCCATTTATGTGTGGTATATTTCATAACTATTCTGTTCCGTGGATCTATTTGTTTTTACACCTAGACTATTTTAAAAATAAATGGCAATATCTGGTGTTTTTATGTATACTAAAAACACTTCTAAACATGTTGAAGAGCATACAGTACATATTCAGCAACTGACTTTTCATTTTAATATTGTTTTTGAGATCTATTTCATGCTGACTTTGACTGCTATAAATAGGATGACTTTATGTCTTGGTTTCCCAGGGACAGTCCTAATTCACTCCAGTTAACCTGACATAA